GATATCCGGGCCAACCCCTCGGTTTTCTTCCGAGGACGACCACGACAACGACCACTCCGACCGCGGGATCTTCGTGGATTCCTGATCTTCTTGAACAATGTATCGGGCGTATCTTCGAAATGGCACGAAGTCTATAAAAATTCGCGAGATTGTTCTCTTAGTCGTTCTGATGTGCTGCAAAAACTTTTACACGAATCTACTAAACGATTGACTGACAAGTTGTGACGATTTTAATGTTCACGCATTTTACACGTGCTCTTATGGAAACAGATGATCGTGTCGGATAAAATAGGTGAAGGAATGTTGAAGAAATAGTACCAGTATTTTCAATTTTTTTGCACATCTACACTAGTTTCGGTCATTTTCACTACAACATTTTAAAGATATAAATCATAATTTGAGAATATGTTTTTTCACGTATAAGTAGGAAAATTAACCAGATCCACCAAAATGGTTGTTGTTCGAATGAATTTATGTTTTATCTTTAATTTGGTATTAACCAAATTGCAGAAATAGTATCTATTAAATTATCATTGAACTTTTAAACAAGTGCAAGGGGAACTTGATTTCTCATCACCTTGTCGGTAGCTTTTCTTCTCCAAGTCATTTTTAGAAGGCAGAACAAAAAAACAAAGAATATTAATGGTAATTCAATATGTAGCTTCATCGTATCGATTCCACGATTATTCGGACAAGAGGCGGCTCAGGGCGGTTTATTGGGAGACAGATTGTCCCCTTTAACACTCTTTCGAGAAGCCAATACGAAAGACTGATCCTCTCTCACTCGATAGATTCGAAGTAATAAAAAAGAAGAAATAATTTAAGAAGCCTGCATGGGATTAATTTCACTCGGAACAGCTTCTCGAATTAAACTCCTTTTCGCTAGCCCGTTCCTCCAATCCTTCTATTTATGTCTCTCTTCGTCTCTGGTATATCATTCTCTTTCGACTGTTTAGCTTCAATCATCCGACACGACTTGTTGTTTTCTTTCGTTCAGCCGGTGTTTTCGACGCGACAGGAAAACACCGCGGACAATTCGGTGGAATAGATACCCGATGCTTGAATTGTATTTCACGTTGAATGGCGGAAAACGCACTAAGAATCAGTAAATACTGAGAAATGTTTAAATAACAACTCGCGTAGTAAAGTTAATTCCATCCAGTGACGACGTTATTTCGTGTTTTCAATGACGTCACTCGATGAGTTCCTACTTGTAGAACTCTTACTAGGGTTGATTAAGCAACTACAAATTCGATTTACCCTATAAACCAGAAATGAAAGAGCACTGAAATAAATAGTGATCGTCTGACCAACGGCTGCATTATACTACTTATGAATTTCGCCCGATGCCGGTCGTCTGACAAATAGTTGTCCTATACTACTAATTCTTCTTTATCCACCATCGTTACACGTTTCCACACACGCACTCCTATCCAACCATTTCCAGGTCACCAAATGTGTTTCTATACCGTTCGAACGAAACAGCGAACGAAATTTCACTGGAAAAGTAGCCTGTCACGACGGCTGAACGCAAACGCGCAGAGAGGGGAAGCAGAACGAAACAACGCTAAAGAAACGAACGTGAAAAGAAAAAAGTCGATGCAGGGAAGAGGGAAGCGAGAGCGCGGCCAGAAAAAAAAAAAGGGAATTTAAGAGCGACAAAGTGACAGATCCCGAATTTAAAAGGCATTCAACGACAAAAGCTTTTGTTCGATAACTCATCCGGCGCTTGGGCGGCTCCTACTCTGTCTCTATCTCTCTCTTTATCTGTGTGTGTGTGTGTGTGTGTGTGTGTGTGTGTGTGTGTGTGTCATCTGAATAGATTAGTCGATTCAATGAACATTTCATCGCGCGTTTTGTTCCGGTGTGTCTTCCATTCTCGATTATTCAACGGCAGTTCGCTTTTGTCTTAGCCACCGGATTCCATCCCCTTCCATGCCCTCCCTAGTTTCGCTCCAGCCGGGTGCATTGTCCTTCGAAAAACACCCGGGCCCGTCTCACCGCTTGAACTTCGTTTCGAGCGGAGCTCACACAGAGAAAAAATAATGAAACGAAAAAAAGGGGGGTAGGGGTGGTTGAACGTCCGTGATGGGGTCCTCGTTAAAAGTTCCGTTTCACTCCCGATAAGCTCTAGAAATTCTCGAAGGCCATTGCGACGCCCAGATTGTCCCTTTCTTATCGCATTCACACATCGATTTTGTTACTGTGACTTCGACATTTGATATTTGTGTTATATGACGGTCGGTAGAGATACGGGATTCAGGTGTATTGCGAGTAGGTTCGAATCTAACCGTACAGTTTCGAATACGTTCGACACCGCTTCGTGGAAGTAGTAATTCAATCCCATAAGGTGAAACTTCTGTACTGAGTATTGACTTGGATTCGTCAGTACGTATTGAACTTGATCCTATCAATAATGGTCACCGATAATCAACGTTACGTAAATGAAAACCTTTGTGTCTTAAAATGAAATACAAAAAGAAAACCTGCCTGTATCCTCGCATTTCGACGGGAATTATATTAAATGAAAAGCTCGCGTCCGAAAAACCGGTGCATCCACGCGCGTGCATTCATCAACGAACAAAGCCGGACGATTAATTAAATGGTCGCGGGTCGGGGCGGGGGCAACGCGTTAAATTTCCCGGTGGCTCGAGAGGCTCGATCGCAGCAAACCGTGAGCATGCGAGATAGGGAGGGGAAGGGGTGGCTCACGGATTTGGAAACGAATCGCAAAAGGATTATTCGACGCATCAATTATCGGTCATAAGCCGCGGATTTCGTCCGACCCCGCGTGTGACTAGGATCCGCGGAAAATTATCGACCGGCTATCATTCCGTATATAATTATCGGCGCTAATTTTACATCATCGGCCGATGGGATTATTAAATCCGAATCCCTGTACAATTTCGGTTAATCGATCCCCGTCCGGCAGCGAAATTGAAATATCGCCCTCGATTGGGTGTGTATATTGGGTCGTTGCTTCTTGAATAACTAAACGGGGGAATCGTAGAGTCGTTGATTTTCTTATCGGAGGAGCTGATTTCGTTCGAGTTCCTACGTGTATATCGGAACACGTGGATCATTCGTGACCCATGGTACACGGTACCGTCAAGCATTTGCTCTGGTATCGAAGAATGGTTCTTCACCACTCTTGTTCATTTTAGGAATTTTCAGTAAATGATATATCTATGACGAGCTCAGCTAATAGAGATACAGTCGTTCGAAACGAACACATACGACGCACCTGGTGAATGAAGCGTAGCCGATCCAAAGCGGTTCCAATTCCTGGATCAAAAGATCATCCAACCCCTCACCCTCCTCCCCACGTCGCGTTGAAAACAATAATACCCCGGTTACGATTCAGGTGATACCCGCACCGATAGAAAATCCTGGGTCTGGATCCTTTACGAGAACCGTCGAGAAGAATATCGGTTCGGTACGATACCCGATTGGTCGACCGTAACACCCTCCAACCCCCGTCGGTGCCTCGTATTTTCGAGGAACCCAGACGCGCTACGGCGTCTTTCCCATCGATCCGGGGGAACGAAGAACGTCGTCGCCAGACGACGAGGAGTCGTAACGTCGTTACGGTTGGCTGCCATCCGTAAGACGACGACGACGGGGACAACGCACGTAACGCAGTCGGAACGGAATCATCCTTGGACTTTAATCCCTCCCCGTAACGATCGACGAAATTCCTGTGCTCGTTTCTGAAACTTGTAAATAAAAGTTTATCGTTTGGGTATGAATGTAGTCCGATCATGACGATGCAGTACTGAATCAACTATTGGACTCCCGGTGGTTGGTTATTTAAATGTAGGGTCGAAATAGAAGGTAGTCAGAGGAAAAATGGACACCAGAATAGTTGTGTAATCTGTATCGGAACCTACATATACATGTACATATACATATGCTGTTTGACTGAAAGCATGGGACGATCGCAGAAGCATTTATTGTAAACATGTACTACTCGTGTGATCAGGGAAATGACTCGTTTCTGATTAGTGAGATATCACGACTGTCTAATCAGAGGAACGAGGCTAGTGTCTGATCAGGGAATTAACGAAATTAATTCTTTAATCGGGGAACTGATTAATGTTGATCTGGGAACTGACTGGTGTCAGATCGGGGAAATTACTAATGTCCGATCAGGCAGATAACAACTGTCTGATCAGAGAAATGACTGTGATGTTTCGTCACTGCTTGACTCGTACTACTTATCGTATCGAGAATAGCTGTATTTTGTCTGTCTAACCAGGGATTATCCTATTACAGTTTTCTAACAAATCCACAACTCCTACTTGTACTGCTTGTTCAGTGAATGACGATCGTACTGTATTTGTCTCGTGCGAAATAAAACCTATTCGACTGGTCTACTTTACAGGAAAAGGATTGAATGCTACAGTAAATACGACTGAACCTGAATAAACAATTGAACGAAGATTCTATAGAACAGAATTACGAAAGAAACGTGAATCGAAACGAAACTCGAAATCGTTCGATGAATTAATCTTGATTTTACTGTGCGTCCGAATTCATGAAATTTATTCTTTTCAATCGATTCGAGATGAATAATATTAATTAGAAGCGAAACGTATATTCAGCTTTTAAGTCTCTCGCGAATGACGTCCGCGTTCTTTATCACGATTGAAAGATTAATGAAGATTAGCATCACGGCGCAATGATAAATAAACTACGGATTTCATTGAATTTATAGTATCTACGAGTGTGAAGAGCGTACTTAATAACTGTAAAGAATTTATGAAATTCGATATCATTTTCACTTCACTTCACTTCGCTTTTCAGTTAACAATAAAATTTATAATATAAAAGATAAACATTTAATTCTGTTTCACTCGTGTTTCAATAAATTGCTGCTGCTTGCTCGAAAAATTTAAATTTGCAAGAAAACATACGCAGTCTAATAATAAATCAGCACTCTCGTTATTCCATTCCAGACTTGTTGTTTTATAAACATCGTACTTACCGTTTCTATCCAGGCGCTGGCTGCGGGCAACAAATACGACGACAAGCATCTGATGAGCAACGAAATCATGGAGAAGACACCGTCCCCGTTGAAGTCGACCTACAACTCTCAGTCGTCGCGGAACACTGATTGTCCACCGTCATCCAAACCGGCGATGGCGAATCGTCTGTTGGACTGGTTCTCCGTCGTGATGTCCGACTCAAAGCATCGTCGTCCTCATCCTAAGCCGAAAGGTCTGCACGTTAATTTCTGGAACAGAGTCGTTATACACCCAGAACACTTAACCTATCGGTTGTTACTTAATAAATTAGTAGATCCAAGGATCAACAGCCAACGAACTATTATTATGATTAAACAGTTCAATCACAGTAACAAATTACATTGGTGAAAAAGAAAACGGAAGGCTGTAATAGAATAACGTAAGAACTTGTCGTTTTGTCATCGAGTACCTACTTCGTTTGTCGCGAAACTGTAGAATTTACATACGAAACTACAGTAAACAGGATCTGGAATACTTGCTGCCAGGCCCTCGAACTGATCCTAGCTGAACATATGTACAACAGACTAATTGGTCCGTGCGAAGAGGAGGGGGTGTGTCCTCTGGACATTACAGTTTCGGAACTGTCTCGCGTCCCTGCACGCTATTCGACTTCGGTACAATCACTTTCGGTACCTCCCCCTCAGTTCAGGAATTGTCCCCGACGGAATGAATCGCTTCCCGTCGCGGCGATCCAGCGCGATTACTTTGCCCCCTGTCTCACTCTCTCCCTCCCCCGATATTGTCCTCCTATACATATAGAGACCTGTGTACCGTGTCGCAATCCTCTCCCCTCTTGTCTCTATCCCTGTGATCTTACGATCGTTCCGTCGGAGTTATGGGACCAGACGACTGGTCAACCCTCTCAAGAGGTTGAGGGAAGGGCACAGCAAGTTACGCGCCTCTCTCGTTTGCATTAAACTCGAACCGTCTTATCTCGATGATGAAAACCATTCGACGTTCCGGAACCTGGGGAAGACAAGATATCGCGAAAGCTCTTCGATAGTGAACCGTGATTATCTTTAGTAGGGATGGGTTTTACAAAATTTTCGATTACAGTTCCGTGTATTTAACAATTAGTTTCCAATCCACCCCTAATCTTTAGAGATTCTAGCAGATACTTGGAGAACCGAGAGGACACGGTTTCTCACAGTCGACAGAATTTATATTTCACGTTCCGTGGACCGTGTCCCCACCACCAACCCATCGGTTGCCAGAGCGAGGTCAGGTGGATGTTCGGACATTTGGACAGCGACAACGACGGCCATCTCTCCCTTTCGGAGTTGTACGGGCTCGAGCACGATCAGAACGAGCCGTGTCTGAAGCCATTCCTGGATGGGTGCGACACCGACGGGTGAGTTTCAAAGACTCTCGAAAGCACGGAAGTGGGACTGATGTGAGAGAGACTTGGAACGTGACACATTTTTCCGATTCTAACCACGTAGAGTAGACGACGTGTCGGTGGTCCCGTGTAACCTGTATATTTCACGCGGCTGGATAATGATGAATAATTGAACGACAGTGAAACGAAGAGTACCCACCTACCCAGTATTCAGTAGTACAGACAGACAGACAGACAGACAGACAGGCAGACAGACAGACATACATACATACATACGTACATACGTATTTGTATACGTATTTTGTCAAGCAATTTAATACGAAAGTATTCTCTGCCCTCTTTAGCTCAAGTGTCCTTACATTTTCCATTTCTTTTTTAAATTTTATTTTTCTCCTGCTTGTTTTTCATCGTAAAACATTTTAATATAGGCCACTCTGTTCGACCCAATACCTAGCTTCGCTACTTAAACTGTTTGCTAGCTACGATATCGGCATAAGAGTGAAGATCTTAAAGAGGGGTCCGGGAATCAAACAATTCCGTTCACATACATAGAATAGATCAATAGAGATACACTCGAATTGTTGTAATTCGTTTGTCTCGCGTCGCGACGAAATTTTTCCCTCCCCTTTACGTAACCCCCGTTTCTCTTGCTTGTAAATCATTAAATTCGCGGCATACGTGACCCGAAAAGGGAACGAGAAACCCTTTCAGTTTTTAATACCGTCGCGGGGAGAGGGGGGGGGAGGGAGAGGAGGAGAGGCTGGCGCTCGAGTGTAATAGGTCTCAAGCGTACGTGCCTTCGGACCAAGTAGCTGACTGGTTGTTAGGGGGAGACTGATTGTATGGGTACGTGTGAAACTCTGGTTTGAAGTCGATTGATTCTCCTACGTACCTATGTGTCGGTGTGTGAAAGGAAGTGCTGTCGATGATGTATGATTATCCGAATAATTGACAAATAAATTTTAGTCTAACGAGGAGATGTGATCAGTAGAGGATCGTACATGAGCTGTCTAGTGTAAAGTGATGCAGGAACGTGTTGTGCCAGACGTATAGTAGTAAATTAATGTATTGTGTCAGATATGAAATACCTAGTAATGGAACGTATTGCGTCATTATAGCCAATCGCTTGTGGCAAAACACTTGTCCGATCTAACACCTTCTTTTAGTACTTCATATCGGTGAGAAACTGAACCCGGGGTAACGTTCGAAAGTGTAAACCGATTGAACGTGAACCTGACGTGAGTCTGACATACTGTGTCGCTTAACTACTTCGAGTAGAGAAACGACGCGCAGACGATCGTCTGACTATACATACGTATAGGCGTGTATCGACTTCTGTATTCCTCTCTACGTACACAAGTCACTTTTACTACTTGCTTAACTACTCGCTTTACAGCTTCCTTTAATGATTGACCTTTACTACTGGGTACGCGTTCCTTTCACGAGAGAGCGGACACAGTTACGTAACAGGCCTTGTGCTAAATTCGGCTTGCTTTGCACAGTTGTTACCTGCGGGTATCTAACTTGTCACTTCGCCAGCAATTACGATTCTATGTGTGTTATGTTGCAATTGTACCATGTCAGTGAAATATCGTCGTCTGGCTATTAAAATTAAGGGGGACTCGAACATCGATACGAATCATGTACCCACAGAGACATCTTCGTGAACGGGCCCGAATGGTGCGGATGCTTCTCGAAAGCCGAACGTCCGTGCGCCGCGGTACATAAACGATCATCCCCGGACGTTGCACCCGCCTGCGATTCTCGAGGGTATTACCGAAGTACCCAATGTCATCGGGGTCTCGGTCTCTGCTGGTGCGTCGACCCCCACGGTGTCGAGTTCGCCGGGACCAGAACACGTGGCAGCAAACCAGATTGCGGTAAGTTCGCGCAGCAATTATTTAACGGTAATTAGTACTCGATATTGTCCAGAAGGTAATGTCCGATTTCTACAGTAGACGATGCTTCCTTGTTTCTCCATACAAAGACATCGATACTAACCTATACATTAGATACGTACTTAATCTGGAAGCTAACTTAAACAGAAGAATCCTTATTGTCCTAATAAGGCCATTGACATACAATGATATATCACTGTATTAACATTTTCAGACACGATCGTGAACAAAATCAGTAACGGAGGTCTGAAGACCAACAGCGTGGACCTGGACGACGACGAGGACGGAGGCACAGACTCTGCCCAAGATCTCGAGGGTTCGGCCGATCAGCCGTTAGACTTCTAGATTCCTTAGGATCAGCCAGCAAAACACACAGCAGCAGCAGCAGCAGCAGCAGCAGCAGCTAACCGGGAGCAGCGCACCTTGACGTGATAATCGAGCACAGCCGGACGACGTGGGTCCCTTTTATCGACGGAGTAAACAACTAGAAGGAGGCAGCTTCCTCCGTCCGGTCGTCCGCTTGTGACGATCATCGCCGTTGTGATTGGAGGTGTCTTCGGTAAATAAGGGTGCGCGAGCCTAATAAATAAAAAAAACAAGAATAACAAAGTCAGTTCGACGAGCAACGAAAAATTGCGTGGGCGAGCGAAGAGTAACGGAAGACAGTTGAGGGCCGAGGTAGAGGAGGCCCCGTGGCGACTTTATACATACACGACGTCTCCTCTTTTCCCCTCGCCCCCGACGACGAGAACAGATACCAACACTGTCGGCAACAACATTCTTAACCCGCGAAATATCGTTAATACTCTCGGGAACTGAAATATCTGTACATGTATCTGGCATTCAGCTTCGATTCAATTGAAGAAAAAAAAGAACAAAACTAAGATCGATCGATTCGCAGAAGAACATAAGTGCCAAACGGGTTAAGAAAAAACGAGAGAGAAAAGAACAAAACAAAAAATCTTAACGCAAGTGCAATAAAACCTCTACGCTTCGTGCAATAGCAGCAGACCCGTGTCCAATTCTTTGATATTTCTAAACTCGATTACCCCTCGAAGAGATCGGCGTGGATTGCAGAGAGAGAGAGAGAGAGAGAGAGAGAACGGGAGACGAACTTCGAACCCCTGTGTGTGCCCCTTCGAGGTACCTCCATGCACAACTCGTCTATGAATTAATAAAATTACACACTATTTATGCATACACAAAGGTAGAGCAAGAGAGAACGAGAAAAGACACTTTTTAAAGTGTCAAGAGGGAGAAAAACGGGAAGACTCTTCATCCTCCATCGGGTATAATTCATGTCCACTCCTCACGATGCATAGAAGTTTATGATATACATATACATATACCTTTAACGCGAGAAGATGCAACAGATAAAGTTTAACGAAACAAAAAAAATAGAAAGAGAGAGAGAGAGAGAGAGAGAGAGAGAGAGAAAAAACAAGCTGGCTGAGAGAGAAAACCCGGCCGGGGTCATCGACAGATGGGCGGAACAACGTTAAAAAGAAACCACACTTTTAGAAAGGTTGCACGCTTAACGACGTAGAAGTCAGACGTTACTTAATTGCATAGACCCCAGCCACATGAGAATAGGTTTAATCTAACTCCCCCTAACTGGATATCTATGCAGCAGAATGTACAGGATGTTTCGAACAATGTGGCTAAATACGTCAGAGGTGAATCGGTACATTAGGCTAATAAAGAAGATAAATACGCTTCAGTAGGGAGACAGTATTAATTTTTTAAACGGGGGTGTTTATTGCAGAGGACATTTTTTTAGAATAGTAGAAATTTTATTATGAATCGGAATAAATTCATAGAGGAAAAAGAAATTCAATGGAGCGACTACGGGATGAGAATTGATATTACTTCATAAGGGAGGAGTCACATTCTTGTATTATTGTATTCTTGTGTATCACGTTCATTTCTCCCCCCCCCCCCCCCCCCAAAAAAAGTAGTTCGGACATATGATAAAATACCCTGTACATAACTGCACAGATTTCCGTTGCTTATTTATATTCCTTGCGCTGGAGTCTTCTATTTCTTCTTCTACTCGAGCTTCTGTTCAGTTTTTCTCTCGTAGCCATCTTGCGTTGCGAGGTCTAGCGTAAGATATACTTGCATAAAAGAATGACCTATTTCGTACTCGCTAACCACTAAGCAGCAGTTCCAATCACGACGACGAACAAGGAGATAGGATTCTGTCTATGAAAGTCCGTTTTCATGGATCGCGATCAACGTTTCCGTCTCCTCACGCAAATATGATAGAAAAGCTAAACAGCGTATATTTTAAGATACACAGTCCGTGTATCCATCATCCCCTCGACATTTTCCTTCTTCTTTGATAGTTATACACGCAATTTTAACGTAAAATAAAAAAAAAAAAAAAAGAACAATGTCCAGAGAGATTCTCTCGATCCTCGAGAAAAGGATTCAACGAGGTGAAAGAGGAAGTGTTTTTAATATTTGATAACGAGCACGTCGTGATTCGTCTGCGTTCACCTGTAATTATAAGCATTTTTACTTACAACTTTTACTTAAACCGAGTGTGCGGTGTACACCGTAGGTATACTAGTGTATAACATTGTAATCTGTGGAAAAATGAAAAAGTAACAAAAAAAAATAAAATAATTGATCGGTGTGACTATGTGAATACGCCCTAGGGATTTAGGCGGCAATTTACGTAGGGATAGTCAGTTGCAAATTGTACACGTAAACCGCATCTAGAGAAGAGATCTTTTATCGAGATTCAGTTTCTAGTGTATTTCACCATCGGGCACGTGTTCTTTAAGTGTTATCGGTTCTCGCTTAATGGTCCCCCGGTGTATGTTATTGTTATTATTATTAATTAACGGCAAAACTGTACTCTGGATTTCAGTACTTATTAAATAACAGGCACTTATTCTACTCTTCCGTGAGCAACTTAATCGACCGTGTAACAGAGTAGGAAAGAAGAAAGCGAGATAAAACAGTCCAAGAATAAGGAAAATCGCGTTTTAACTGGCACCATAGAACGTCGGCTCATTCTCAGACATCAAAATAACAAACAGGCTACGGACGTTTAATGCGAAAAATTCAAAGTTTCGTAGATTAATGTACACAGAAACTTATTGTCCCAATTAACAAGCTGACTGTCAGAGTAATGTCTATAAATAGTTGCAATATACTTAAGTTTTTAAATTCGTTTCAATTACAGGTCTCGTCGTAAGAGTGAATATTTTAAACAGAACTCAAGGCTCTGTCGCCTGTGTACGAGTGATCCGACAGTCAGCTTCTTAACTCCCCTATTCGATTCGAATAAGAAACTTCATTGATTTTCTTACTTTATAATGTTTTGAATATGTAACAAGTGCATAAAATCCGCAGTCTAGTGATAGAGTAAGGATTCATAGAAATATCCATTCGGCGCCATATTGAATTTGGCTGAACATTGGTCCGCGATTAGTACATTCACTGGAAACGCGTACACTCTCTTTGCTACTGTGAGTGCAATTTCTATTTCCGCCTGAATTCATTACCGTCGATATCTAGATTAACCGAGCATAACTCGAACGCAACCATACGATAGTTTTACCGAGAACGTCGTCGTCTTGCATATTGTATATACATAATTATATACAATGGAGAAAATCATCGTCTATGATCTTCGTAACGTGATGATTTTTTGTAAGGTATGCACCTGGTCGAAGCATAAAGAATTTTTACTTCATTCCGAAGCTACTATTGATATTTCACCAAACTGGTATTGTACATGTGGCTGTAAGAATTCTTTATGAATAAAGATTGTTGTAGAAATCCGGGCATTATATGGTTCTCTGCACTTCTTTCCTTCCAAATACACCAAACTGGAATATATCTAGGAATATATTATCTTTATTTAAATATTCTTACAAAAAAATAGATATTGCAACCATATTTCAAAAGGAATCGTATGAAAACCGGTGCTGAATCACTTTGTATACTCCCTTTTAGTATTTAAGCACTGCTCTCAAGCTGAGAAAAAAATTTGTATATTAATGAGAACCTTATGTTGTTTGAAAATTACTGTTAAAATTAAATAACAGATTGAAGATTTACCAAGCTCCTGAGTGCAATAAATCGAATCCTTCGTTAATCTTCTCGAACGGAAGAGTATGTGTAATGAACTCATCAAGCATCAGAGATTTTGACATGTATTCCTGTACAAATTTGGGTACACTTTCTTTGGATTTCCAACCACCAAATGCAGTTCCCTTCCATACACGTCCTGTTACCAACTGGAATGGATATGTACTGATCTCCTGACCTGCTGCAGCCACACCCACAATAACAGATGTACCCCAGCCTTTATGACAGGATTCTAAAGCAGCTCTCTAGATACACAGTATCGCATAAGTTAACCACTCTGTGTAACACTCAATTTCTTTAAGAATTGTATAATTACCATAGTGTTAACATTGCCAATACACTCAAAACTATAATCTAATCCACCATCAGTTAATTCTACCAGAACTTCCTGAATTGGTTTATTATAATCCTTGGGATTAATGAGTTCAGTGCATCCAAATGTTTTAGCTGTACAAATATCACACGGTAATAACTAAATATGAAAATGATGAATTCATTCTTTAAGAGAAACTATATATTTATAAATTCATCTGATCTTACCAAGCTCAAATTTACTTGGATTTACATCTACCCCAATAATGCGTTTTGCACCAGCCTTTTTGCAACCCAGTGCAACTGCCAACCCAACTGCACCTAATCCCCATATGGCACATGTACTGTCAGGTTCTACTTTGGCCGTGTTAAGGGCAGCACCATACCCAGTAGGCACTCCACAACCCAGCAAACATACTTTATCGAATGGTGCATTGGGGTCAATCTAATATAACATGATTGTATGTATATGCTTTTGTCGCGCTATTAAATCCTCATAACATTAAAAGGAAACTAAGGAGAGCAACTCCATGTATAGAATGTACCTTAGCAAGAGAAATATCAGCTACCACTGTATATTCAGAGAAAGTAGAACAACCCATAAAGTGAGAAATTGTCTGACCCTTGCAAGTGAACCGAGAAGTACCATCAGGCATAACACCCTTTCCTTGTGTTACACGTATCTTGCTGCACAAATTCGTCTTTGGAGATTTGCAAAATTTGCAATCCCCACATTGAGGAATATACAATGGAATCACATGATCGCCTACAGGTATTAAAAATATAACCTACTTAAATATAATGTATGTGTACCTTTAAGTTAAATTTATATTATAATTATACCCGGTTGAAATTCTGCAACTCCATCACCAACACTTTCAACGATGCCACTGCCTTCATGACCAAGAATACATGGGAAAATTCCTTCTGGATCCAAACCATCTAAGGTATAAGCATCAGTATGACACAAAGCTACAGCAACAACTTTAATTCTGATTTCGTGAGCCTTTGGTGGAGCTACCTCAACTTCCTCGATCGAGAGAGGTTGCTTTTCCTTCCACGCTACAGCAGCTTTGCATTTAATTACCTAAAGTACATGAAAATAAAAGACTAGAAATCTCGCGTAACCGTATAATTAGAGGAAATTAATGTACTAGATATATATAGTAACTTTTGTTAAACATCTATTATATACAATTAATTATTGTGTTGGATAGATATCTTATTAAATCTTTCCAAAGTGGATCAAAGATGAACTCAATGTGAATAATTGATTGGTTTTTTCCATAAGAAATTATTACTTTGTCAAAACTTGCAACAATGAAACAGAAGAAGTAAACCAGATATTTATATAGAAGAATAAATATATAAATATGTACCTTTCCAGCAGTGTCCGACATGATAAAGTAATGAGAATTAATAATCAACGATTTAAGAGACTGTAAGAAACTGAACGAACAATACGACGATGAATATAATCTTTCTCGACACCGTTCGTGATATTACAGCGATAACCCGGAGTGAATTCAAGGTTGTGTGATTTGCACGTGTCGTAATTCAATGCTACTGACATCTAGTTTGATAAAATTCGGCTAAACTTCCAAAAACCCCCATGCTCCAAATCGGATGAAATTTTCAAAATAGGTTGTTTTTTGACAAAAATGATAATTGCCAGAAGGATTTTTGGCGTCTCGAAAAAAAGTTTTTTACCATTTAAAATCTTTCTCCTTAATCATCCCCTATTATCGAAATATCACATACACGTTTAAATCAGAAGGTTTATCTAATATAATCTGGTATAACTCTTTAGATAGATAAAGCGTTTATTTGTACATAACGTTTTTCTAAACTATTTTTTATTCAGAGCATTATTAACTCTTATACTATTTTAAGAGATCAATTTATTAGGAAGTATTGTAGTACAGTTTCACATTCTTTCATATACAAGCTACTCTATTTATCGCACTATTTGGGTAATTGCCATTTATCTATGGACTTTTTTGCCTAATCTTAGCATAGGTAATGTCTTTGCAAGTGTAATAAAATGCGCAATCATATAGCCAAGAAGAGCACCGATCACACAAGGGATTGGCCAAGCCTGCCATGGACGATCCCAATCTAATGGAATTACAATAGCACCTAACCAGGTACCCAGAAGAGTTGCTTGAATGTTAGTTTTCACAGCATCCACCAAAACATTACCTTTTTGAGACCGTGTCCCTGTTATAATTTCTAATGCACCATCTACACCTAAATGTAGACTAGCAGGCACAAACGTAAGAGTGGTTAATGTAACAGTGAGCATTGTTGTCTCTTCATGATGCATAAATACAGGTGCTCCAAATAATATGATAACAATATAGTATACAACAGATAAGATAAAAGCAACTAAGAGAAATTTAAAAATCTCTTTCAAATATCTTGACCAAGACCTCCTAGCTTTGGAGGATGTCCTTATATCAGTTTTCCCTATGATTGTTAACTCAGAATGAAACATAGGAAATAGCAGTTTGATTACTTCGGCGAACAATAGAATCAATAATACTGGAATAAATTTGTACTTTCCCACATTGTACAAGTTGTCGTTCAGCTTAAGTAATATCAAAATACCGGGAAAGTAAATGCAAGTGAAAGAACAATAAGATAAGAGTAACCTCTGACTCAATTTGTTTCCAATGCTCATGATTATTAGTCTATTAACCTGTAACAAAAACTTTGTTATAAAACAAATAATAAAATAAAACTTTTACACAGATTTCATGATTTCTTACTTGGCATAAAATAAAATAACTGTCAATGATTTTAGTGTATACTTGCTATGCTATTATATTTGCACAGTATGCATATTGTTGTCTTTTGTTGTACCATTTTATATATGCTACAACGTTTGAAGAAATTCGCACGCATGTTATTCGTTTTAAAAAAATAGTAATATCGAAGCTAAATAGATAAAAAAGAAACAGGAAATAATGCAGCAATTAAGTTCAATTTTCCGCTGAATTTGGAAAAAAGTATTGCGATTATATAGCGTGTTTGCGTGTCACTAGCACGAATTTGAAAGATCAGCTTAGATGAGCTCAGATCAGCTCAGATCAGCTGTTGCGAAACGTGTTGTATCGATAGGAAACTGAACAAGCAAAATTTATGTGTGAGCATAGGACCCATTGTTTTCTCTTACTTTTCTACTGATTATTATGGGGAAGAATAAACAAGCACAACGAACGAAAAACAATGCAAGAGTAAGTAAAGCTTTTACAACTATTTATATAATAATCCATAAAGTAAAAAAGTTATAGGTTAAACTTTGTTATTGTGAGAATGTCTCTTATTCTAAATATATAATTCCTTTTCACTCATTTTAAGGAAAAATTCAGTCATGACAATGAATTAATTAACGATGATCTATGTGAGATGAACTGCAAGAAAATTTCTTTTGAGATTAATCCGAGTAGAAATTATCTGTGCTATTTGACACATGATCTGTCTAAAATAAAATCAAATATTTATAATAATTTATTTATACTCTTTTAGCCATCAAATAGTAGCAGAAGCGCAGAGCTTCTGGGCACCGCAATACCCAAGTTTGTTGGTTTCTCAGCCGTGAAAGATGGTGGATACGTACCTGTATTACCAGGTTTATCACTTTGCAGTGTAAATGAAATTGAAATGAGTAATGTGGATAGTAATTTTCAAATAGTGTTAAAGAAAATGAACAAAAAAGATGCGACAACAAAGTGCAAGGTAAAATTTATTCTAGGTGGATGGAATTATCGGTCCACCCTGTATAAGGTGAAATTTAATAGCAATATTACACTGAATAAATAATGTAAATAATGTTGATACTGATCAATTATATTTGAAGGCCCTGCAAGAATTTGCTGTTCTGTGTAAAGATTCAGAATTTCCAGCCGTAGAAGGAATGTTGCCATTCTGGCCCAGATTATATTGTGCCTTGGCAATAGACATTGAGCATAGAGTAAGGGAAGCTGCACAGTTAGCACATGCAGCAGTCGTGAAGCGTGTAGGCAAAGGTATAGCCGTGTATTTGAAACAACTCGCAGGAGCTTGGTTCACTTCCCAACACGATATGTATCCTCCGGCTGCATCGGCTGCTAGTAATTCATTCAATGTAAAGTATTGTATTCGGTTAATAAGACGATTCTACGAAATTAATGAAATTGACGTGTACATTTATTTATCTAGGACACATTTCCATCAAAAAAAATTATCGATGCCATTGTGCACTGTCAACGTGAAATTTTAATGTATATTTGTGATAATGTCACTGTTCACACTGCACAATCTTTATCTCTGCAAAAGTACGTTTCGTATTTATCGAAGGTAAAAGGAAGATGCAGACGATAAAAGGATTATTACATCCACTAATATGTTATATTATTAGGAGTCTTACTGTAGAGGAAATGGAGGCAAAGTATCAGAGGGTGCTGGTCGCCAGCCTGCAAGGATATAGTTTTTATCTAAAAAAGGTTCCCGTAGAGGAAATCGAGAAAATGGTCGATATTCACCGTAAAATTATAAGTAACAACAAGTTCTGGAAGTTGGTGAAGTATGATGTTCTTCCAGTGAAAACGGCATTCTTTAATGTGCTGACATCGGTGATCGAGAATGCTAATATATTGTTGCAAGAGGAGAAAAAGAGAACTGTAACAACTATTATGAACAGCCTAGATGAAATGGAACCAGCACTTTTATCTGCCGTTTGGGAAGCCATGCTTGTAACTATAAATAAAATAGAGGTAAATAATCTATAGGTAATGTACCTAATATTCGAAATCTACAATATTCAATCACCTAAAATTTCTGCAGGACTGGTATTGTGTAGTGAGCATTGAGAAGCTCGTATTACCGAAATTGTGGCGTGTTCTACGAAGTGGAGGACAGTGTTCTGCAAGTATTGTATACCCAAACTTGTTACCATTTATCAGTCAATTCCCTAAGTTAAATGTCGATGTACATAACTTGTACATGAACTTCTTCAGTAATATGCGACATGGGTAACTTGATCAATTAAAGCGATAGCGTTGTTAAGTAGATTGAAATGTACATTACAACATATTAATATATTTTTTTCAGATTTTCTCTCAAAAGTGTGCAAACGAGCCGCTCAGAAATGTTTGCTGTAACAACATCGTTCACTGAATGTCTACGGTATTCTGTTCTATTAAATGTTAACAATCAAGACTTGTGCACGGCGCTCCTCAAAGAACAGGTCTTTATTTTATATCATACCTCTGTATAAATGTTTTAAAAAAAAAGCATTAGGAATAATTGATCGATCATTTCAGCTGATACCAGTTTTAGAAACATGTTTAAAGGAGAAAACTCAAATGAAAGAAATTCTCTTCCGTGAAATTATACAGTTGGTGCGGTACTGGAGCAAAAATCGCCACAATGAAGATTATAAGTCGTATATTCACTTAATACAGCGGTTTTGGATTGAACTTGATTCGTTGTTCAATTCGCTGATAGATGCGTCTCAAAATTCTGAGACATTCAATACTCCGGATACAAATAATTCTCAGATTGAATTTTTAATTACATTGAAGACAGCACCTATGCACAGTCGTAAGAATTTGAAGGTGAAGTTTTCTAATCCGGAAGAGGATACGAACGTTGAGCCAGAAACTCCGACGACAGAAGTCGATACCGATACAAAATTCTTAGCGGAGCTGAATAACTTTGTCAATTCCCTTTGCATTAAATACTTTGATAAAATCAGCGAACAACGGACACAAAAATACGTGATACATTTGAACAAGCTTATCACGTGTTTCGAGAGCGAAAAACTTTTCATAAATCTGTCAGAGTCTTTAAAGACTCAAATAAACTTCTTCAGTTTCTACGATCAGGTCTTGAGACAATGGTTGCTGGAACAATCGACAGAGACCGAGCACATAGTGGAATTAATATTCAATCTGATTATGTATATGAACGAGTCTGAGAAGGAGAAGGTTTTGAAATCGCTCACAGGGGTAAGAAATCTCGCCCCATTCATAGAACCTTTTTATTTATTATATTTTTATCTGTTTTCAGTTTGAAGATGTCGTAACAACAAGAAGCGTTGTATATTGTGCATTGTCCAAGAAGCGATCAAGAGATAATGCGATCATAAAAAAATGGTGTTCACCGTCTAAAATAACTAGTCTGTTAATAGACGTAGCAAAGGAAATTGCTTCAGGAAATTATTCCGATCTCGAGAAGAATCAGGATCTCATTTTGTTGGCTCTCGAGCCATCCGATGATGGCAGTGAGTCTCTTAACATTCGATTATTTCTGTTCATCTTTAACTTCTCACTCTACTAACACTTGATTCTTGCGCAACGTTTAGATTTGTTGGTCAAGGAAGATGGAGTCAATGAAATCGTGTCTATTCTCTGCAATTCCATTCACGAAGTGGATGAAGCGTGCTTGTTACACTTCGCGCAGCTAATTTCTTGCATTGTTCCATTAACATGGGCCCACAAGCGATCAACGCTGGGAGGTGTACAAGTATTGGAAACACTGTTCGAATTGTGTTCTCAGAACTACTTCAGCAACAATGGAACTTTCATAGAAACAATGAGGAATGTATGGAAGAATGGTCTATTGGAAGCCGTTCGAAAACTCTCCCGATTGGAATTTATCGAATTGACCAGAAAATTTGCAAGCATCATGTGGAAGAAGATATACAACTCGTAAGACAATGTTTCACGTGTATCGAAAATTTTTTCTAATTGGGATTTGTAACATATGTATACGAAACGTTTCGCAGGAACGAAGAGCATACAAACGAAACATTGGTGGATGTTTCAGCTGATTTTCTTGGGATCATTATTAATAACGATGTTCACATGGAAGAGACTCATGTACAAGAGATTATTTTAACATTCTTAACGGATTCTGACATAGCAACGTGGATGGCTGAAGTAACAGGAATAATTCTTTATGGAGAAGTGATAACTGGAGAGTTGTATGTGTTCACTCTGGATCAGAGTATACAGCTTTTCCAGAAACGTGAATCCGTTAATTTAATTAGTAACACGGTAGTAGACAACACCGAAAATTGCTTGAAGTGGGCGTTGTTCAATACAAATTTGCTGAACAATATATGCTTAAGATCGACTGACACAGATCAGGAAAGGGAAGAATCTAATATTGAGAAACCGTCGATACAGAATGTTAAATTACCAGGGATTATAGATCTATTAGTGGATATTATGTATTCGGTTATTTTAGGGCGAATATACACAAATTATTATAAATCTGTAAGTACAATAGTGCTCCCTTTGTGAGTATAATGATTTAATTAAGAAAGCTAATGCTCCTTTAAATAACTGCTTTCAGACTAAGTGTTACAGTAATGTGAAGAAAATTTTGACGACAATTCAGGATAATTTCAAGCAGTTACAAACATACGTTACGGAAGATACCTGCAGTGAAATTCTAAGTTACATAAAAATGTAAGTGTGATTGTGTGTCAATAGTCGATTGTATTCTATAACAGCGTATCGTTTGTGTTTGCAGGAATTCTGACAAATATGGCAGTATGCTGTCCTACTTAATATACTTTTGTCGCACGGAATTAAGCACAAGCATGGCAGCTCAAAAAGTATTTGAAGTGTGCAACAAAAATATAGAAATTAGTCTGCAGGGATCGCAGGTAGTGGAATATTAATAATATTTATTATTTAAATCTGTTTTAATATTGCATGTAATACATACACAGTATCTGATTGTAGGTTCCATCCGAGTTTCATACATCAGATATTTATAAATTAATAGTAGCAAGGAATAAGCTTCGTAATCAAGAAGACGATTCCGACTGTTTCAGTTTATTGGAAAAAATAATATCTTACGAGAAGGAGAACTTCACTCCGTTACTTTTTGATTGGTAGTTATATCGCATTATGCGTGTCAAACTTAATATAATTCGTTGTATTAAGTAGAACGCGTATTTGTATTGTTAAAATTTTTAGCGATTTGTCTGCGACCTCGTGGGAACAGTTAACATTACCTTTGGAGATTATCAGATTACTGGCAGAGCTCGCGACAAAAATACCTTCAAAATTAACCAGCGAACACTGGAATTTTATTTTAATATCATTGGTCATGTGGCGACTCACTCTTAACAAATCAAGGCAACACATTAATGACTTTAAGGTTTGTCTATTAAGAATGTACGCGCTATAAAGAATTGTTGACTTCAATTTGTACCACAGGTATCAGCATTCACGGTAGCCATCTGTCAACTTTATTATGCGGTTCAGAATGTAATTTACAAGCAAGAGCAGATAAAAGATTTACCTCCAACACTACTGGACGAGTGGAATAATGTATTCGCCGGTGATCTCCAAAGTGGATTCGCCCAGACCTGGATGTTCTATGCAGGTACACCAAATGTTAGTGGGGTAGATTTATCTGTCTCCTAATTGCACGATCCTTTCAGACACCACCTTATCAGATTGGCACAACGAAAGAACAAACGCTTTGAAAGCGATCGTAGTGTTGGATCACGTAGGAAACGCAGTGAAATTGTTAAATGGAAACGTATTGTTTAAAACTCAGTTGTACATAGTAGACTCCGCGGTTGCTGTTGACTTGAACAGCGCCGTTGGATTGTCACTGAGGTTACTGTTGTCTCCTGTAGCCAGTATACAATTGGGTGCATATCATTTATTGAAACACACCGTACCAGAACTCGTGGATAAAGACAAAGCTACTGTGGAGATGGAGAACTTTGATGTAAATACACTGAATATTAAACAAATGGAAGATAGACTTCAAAATACTCAGAACATCGTGAATACTATTTTAATGGATTTCAAGTGAGTATTGAGACGCATGTTTTTCGTTCTGTTATCAAAATACATCCAAGACATTCAGATGATCCATCTATCTATCTCTATCTCTCTATGTATTAATAGGAAGTGTATCGTTAACGTTAATATGTTTCTAGATTATGTGACACAGTCAGTTGTACTATTCAACCGTACACAGACTTTTATACATGCACTGTAGGCTATTTACTATCATGGGCTATCATACTAGACATGTGTGCGAATGCTCATGGGGATCTACTTTATCAGTATGCCGAAGTAGTTAAGTAAGTCTATTTTAAGCTTTGCTTAAATGCCCTTTGTGCGATCTCTGCATTGCCATTTGGCTTTCACTGGAATTATTTTATACGCACATTTATACATATGTATCTTTTCAGAGACAATTTCTTCCCCAGTTTGTTAAACAATATCTTCAGGCTGATGCCAGTGGAGGTACTTCAGGATAACAAAAATAAGGGTGCAAGCTTGATGGAGCTCTTTTCAACAGAACCATCCCTCGAATTTGGAGGTTTAACGCCTGAATTATTATTCTTTAAAATAATAATCTTAGAGGATACTTATGATCATTCCTTTTTAAATAGAAAGTTGGACAGAATGGAGGCTAGACCACATAGTCTGTTGGTTGTACAGAAACAGTTTGAGGCATTTACCGGTATTGGTGAGGCAATGGTGGAGTACATCCGACAGCCGGGTCAGCGCGGCCGTGGACAAGATCACGACACATTATGTCAGTCCCATGCTTTGCCAGGAGCTGCTCAACAATAAATTACAAAATATCGAGAACATGCAGGTGAAGGTTCACGCGACGTTCCGTGAAGTGATGGCGTTGTACCAAATGGACGACACTAAATTGGAGCTTAACATCATATTACCACCGAATCATCCCTTGGGACCGGTCACAGTGGAGCCTGGCCAACACGCGGGTGGAACCGCGAATTGGAGGAATTGTCATATGCAGTTGTCCATATTCCTTACGCATCAGGTACACGTTTATCAATTTATCGATATTTACAATCCCATTTTCGACCCATTTCAGTAACTTTATATCGATTGTTGTGTGCTCACGAAACAGAACGGATCGGTCTGGGACGGGCTTGCATTATGGAAGAAAAACTTGGACAAGAAATTCGCCGGAGTCGAGGAATGTTACATATGCTTCAGTATTTTCCATTCGAGCTCGTACCAGATACCAAAATTGTCTTGTCACACGTGCCGCAAGAAGTTTCATACAGCTTGTATGGTATGTGTGTTAACTGTGCATTTAACATACTGGCCATTTTTCTTACAATAATCTTCTTAATGAATCTTTTCTGTTTCTCGTTGCAGTACAAATGGTTCAGTACAAGCCAGAAGTCCACGTGTCCAATCTGTAGGAACATATTTTAATTGAACTACTGTGTATTATCTATGAAGAAACTTTGTACCTCTCTATTCAAGTTCGTTAAGCCGAAAATCCTGTAAATAACCGAAGCTAGCGAACGATATTCTATAGGGAAATTTTGCATTGTCCAAGTTGGCGTGTAATTGTAAAATGTAAATCATACAAATATACATACATATAATAACTTTCAATATACAGACATTGTCCATTTCGAGCTGTTCAATGAAAATTCGGATGGTGGGGTTTTTCAAGAATGAGTCTCGCCTATTCCGAGCAGAATTTTTCTTTTTCCTAGAATCGGACACACTTTCGGAAACGATATTATTGGTCAATAGGCACAAGATAAGCATCATTACTGTTTCAATTTCCAGGCAAAACAGGTCGCAAGATGCCAGGTGAGTGTTTGAAAAAGTCTTACAACTTGTTAAAAGGCAATATGTAATTAAATTTCTATAATACGAAGAAATTTCAACCATAAAATTTTTCGTTTCACTTTTATAACTCGAATAAACGTCACTGTAAAAACAATTCACAAGGCTGATTTGCACCTAAATATGTACATAGAATCAAATGGCATAAATGCATTTTGAATTGATTTTCCTAAGAGTGAAAAAATCTAGAAGAACATGATATAGATATATTACACCCAGATAGCACATGACACCTCGAAGACGTCCGTGTTACGACTATTTTGGATCTAACGCGCCTTTAAGCCGTCCTCAAGGCATCATTGGGCGTCATGTGCTGCATAAATGCGTCTGGGACTGCATACATACATATCTAAAGATGAACATTTTTTATACAATCGAATTATTTTATTTTATCGACGTGTCTTTTGCCAAAAGAGTAGTACTTATAGAATGTTATAAAAAATAAGGATAAATATTTCAAATAAGAAATATCGTAGCTACACGGTTTTGCGTTGGATCTCATACATTTAATAACTTTAAAAGTTAAGAAAAACAATTTTGGTTGTTTTACCTGACAAACCGTGCCCTGTATCGAATAATTCCTGAAAAAATGAACAGGCACCGAACAACTCATGGTAAAGATTACGTCCACCGATAACTGATATAAATTCCAACGAAACCCCCCTCCCCCGTGTCTTCGATTTTATCGAAACTTGCGGATCGCATTGTTTTTAATCGTTAAAAATCGATTTCGTTTGAAGCTTACAGGTGGTTACAGAGAACTGCGGAGCAAAGTTTGCCCGCCAATGTGGTCGTGGGCGGCCGTGACGCCGATGGCACCACAATCTACGTAGGCAGAGCGTTCCACGAGGGCGATATGCTTCCGGCGAAAGTGATGCCGGACAAGAATGTCGCCTATGTCTCTCACAACGGGGAGGAACACCCCAAATACGACTACGAAGTGAGTTCTAATGCTTTGTGACAGATCGTACAATAGAAGGCAGAAACTTTGGTTAGAATTTAATCTTCACCGCTTGAAACAGTTACAGTGTTAGAGGATCATGTATTGCAGTCAATACGACAACGCAATACGAATTTTCGAAAAGTTTTTTCCATACAAATATAACTAAGTCTTAGAAATGGGAACTTCGGTAGGAAAGAATGAAATTCCTACATTAGTTGTCTATTTTTCTTTTTACGAATTACTTTATAAATTGTGGTTTCACATAAAAATGGTATAATATCGTATAATAATCGCGTCCCACGGACTTGTCCATCCGGTTGCAATCTAATCTTCGATATCCACACGATAGGTACTTTTCTCGTTTCACCGATGCCTGGGTAGAAGGGAAACCGATTGAGTGTTCAAGGCGGAGTCGCGAGGAGGGAGGTCGGTGATTCGTGGTTTTCAGTAAATAATAAATCCTTTCTGTAACGAGTATAATTTCCTGGTATACTAAATAGCCCCTGAACGCACGCGAACACGGGGAATCGGAGATTTCGTGTCAAGGCGACGCCGGTGTTCGCCTTGCAAAACAGAAAGAACGGCCTTAATAATGCTTTTAGAAAAAAGAAGTGTTTTTCATTTCTCGATTGTACTCTATTCATTTCCGGAGAAAAGAAATTTTATTCTGCACATAGGTATACAAACCTTAAATTTAATTCGATTTTGTTACAAGTGACACTATATTTAAATCAGCTCTGTCCGAAACATTTTTCAGGTGAAAATTTTACTTGGAAACCTATTGAGAACTCTAAATAATGCTGAAAATCCGAATTTCCTGAGAAGAAACACCATAATCTGGATTCAAGAGCGTGTCCATTGAGTCCGATATCTAATTGAAACTTTAAATTCATTAATTCATGTAGCTATTCGTGAGAATGATCACATATCGCGGTTCCTTGATTGTACCGATTCGTCGGAATCGATTATCCGATCGACGATCAGAAATTCTAGTACTCTAGATACGAGTTATCTGCACGCTGAGCAAACACTCACAAGCCTTCCAGAATATTGCTTCGGCGTCTCTGTAATGTTATTCGAAGCAATTGTTCAAATATTCGCTGTTACATTTATCTTGATTTATCATGCGACTCGTAATACGATACATACCTACAGCCTGTTGTAATTGCATTTCTCGTGATTCGTTATCCTGAAAGTTCCAACGCTTACGTATGTACATACAATATATTCAAACTAAATTCACGACGGATAATTGATTGTTAAAAACAGAGATGAATCATTCTCGTTTCATCGTTTTCGTCATCTTTCCTTTTTTTTTTCTTTGTTTTTTGTTTTTTTTGCCATTCCTCTGCCGTCTATTTACGAGAATCTTCTGTTAAACGAATTATGCCAGATAATGATAAAACTGAACGGAAATGTAGCGAGAAATATCGTTTTTACGGCCTGAAACGGTCGACACGTGTGCTTTATGATTCAAGATGGCGGATTTTCGGCTTGGTGTTCAGAGAAGACAATGTTTAATGAAGGAAATTGAATATTTTTCTTTAGGTACTCTGCCTAGGCGAATTCGCGTGGGAATTCCGCAGCAATGGCGATGTTCCGAGCGACGCGGTGATCGCAGGAAAGACTTCCGATGGAGAACCTCTGTATGTCGGACGTGTTCTCCATAATGGCTCCCAAACAGTTGGCAAGGTCAGAATTTTTGTTATTCTCTGTATACAGCGGATAAAAGAAGCATTTGCTCACAACTGGTGTATCACTTGCCACTACTTACATATTATTAGAACAACCAAACACGGATCCGTCAAAATGACAGAGTGCAGACTTTTTACCTCAGAATTACGAAAATTATAATAGTGTTTTATAATTTTATATTTGATATGCACTACGTTACTATAATATGATATATTATGTAGGTATAGAATTTCATTTAGTATTAGAGCGAAACTGTCGATGTAATAAGTAAAATGCGAATTTTATTTCGAAATGAGTAAGAAAAATCTATCACAAAAGGATGATAAATGGATAAAACTAAGGAGAATATACATATACATACATAGATAAATCGAAATTACAGAAAAGTTTTGACAGATAAGTAATAACTGTTATTTTGGAAGTTTGAGAACGAATCCGTGGGTAACTGTAGATTCGATGCTGGTAGTTCTAGTGTTGATTGATGAATTTTACGAAACTTTAATTGTTTATTGGAAGCAAATACTTGTCGTACTCACTCTGTATACCTTCAGTCGAAACAGTAAAATCTGAAATATTGAAATATCTCTCGTGAAAAGACAACAGTCGAAATAAGGAATTCCAACTGTTTACAGATTCAACCCAGTCACGGGTGCCTCTACATCCCCTTCGACGGTGAAGAGCTGTCCTTCAAGGACTACGAGGTCCTCGTCCTTAATTAATTAATGTACAAAGCTAATCTTTGGAATTTTAATTTTAATACGCAATACAATACATGACCAATGTTTTTATTGAATTTATATCCTTGAAGCTCACCTGTGTAATATTCTACGACTCTACGATATTAGAACCGGCAAATAAATTGTTACAAAACATCCTATTTCCTGAACAATTAACGGAGAAAAAAGCTAAATACATCACGCGATTTGAAACGAAGGTTGAACTCAAGGTTAAAAAGTTTATCGAAGAAAGAAATCTTTTTATTCGGTTGAATTCGCGAACGTTTTTGGATTGGCGGATGGAATTGTGGATTGTTGAAAGATCGACGCGCTTGCGTCTGGGACGAACCGGCCATCATCGAACAACCGGTGTGCTCCAAGTCTAAGAGGACGCGTCGGGGAAACACGAAAACAACGGGGAGGGGAGGGGGGGGGGG